AAACAACAATTGCCTAGTGTTGCGCGTATTATATCAGGTGCCTACCTTCTAGGGAAAGCTTACAAACACTCCCCAGCCTATCTTTTAGATTTGTCATACTACAGTTTTTATAACAAAAATCAAAACCAATTGTAAAGGCGAGAATATGAGCTTGGCGGACCTGGCTCTCTTTCCCTTCTTCACTGCGTGGGACTTCGTGATGAAACGGCTGATGGAGTTGGAAGGCGTCTCCGGCGAAAACGTCGAGGCTTTTGCATCTCAATGGCCTAACGTGCAAAAGTACTGTCAACTCATGAGTCAGAAACCCTTCATCATGAAGACCTTCGTCGAGGATAACGACTTTGCTAAATTCGTGGATAACTACGGCCCGGATGTGCCTGCTGTAATCTCATAGTACTCTACCCCCTCTCGATAAACGTTTGTTGCTACTCTCAGTCCGTAGACATCCGTGGACCGCCATTATACCTCTCGCTTTCCTCTGAATTCTCGCCTGCAGCAATCACCTTTCGTGTTGATTTAATAAACGTCTCCAGCATATGTGAATTGCTCTTAGTTTGACTGTATTACGGGTTTTTTTGAATTAAATCCCTCTTAAATATGCGAATTTCTTTCTGTTACTGACAATCACAATTGCGCTGCGCGACGTTGCATGCGTCTTCGATGACATAACAGCGAAGAAGGCCCTACGCTTGCACAAAGTGCAGTTTCAGACGATATCGAGCGCTGTGCCCTAGATACGGTTTTGCTTATCTGAGATCACAAATTGTTGTTGGGACTGAACTACTGATATTGCTTTTAATTCTCCAACATATATCAACACATGCTGGCCGTGAGACGGAATGATGGATTATCACAAATGGCTGTCCATGCCTACGAAATGGCGCACTAATTTAACTTCACAGCCACGAAGACAATCACCCACACTATAGCCAAGACAAGCCTGAGGCCTGGACGTCCGACGAGAACTCAGCCAATCGATATATCGATCGGACACCGATACGCAGAGCCCCGCTGAGTCATATCCTGATTAGCGTGGCTGACATTTAATTGGTTCATGCGGCTGATTACTGTTATTTATTTTTTGTCCCTTTTATCGCTAACACGAGTTTCCAGTAGGCATTCGAAAGCTCAGGCGAATAAAGAAATTATTCCGGCGATCAAACCACCACATTTTCATCCCTTCTCATAGTAACAATTATCCGGCGGTTGTCAGTTGCGAACCCGGTTTCGGTGTTTAGCCACTTGCCTGGTAGTTAGACATTAACGAAAGCCGTTCAGTGTTTTTCAACTAAAAATACTGCAGTTTATTGCAATAAAACCAATTAAAGAACAATCTCGCTAGAAGTTGGAGACATGTGGACAAAAACCTGTACCCTGCGCCATTGTACATACATGGCCTTGGAGGAAATTTTTGCCTTTTCAGAGTCAGTTGAGTAATGAGGGCTGCTGTCTGCTCTGTCCGGACTGCACTCAACTGGGTTAATTTACTTTTCGTGCAAATATTGCGGTCGGGTGTATTGTCAACTCTGCATTTTAGGGGTGTTTTGGCAGGTTTCAATTAATCCACTTTGACCCAGCTGTGAAAAACTCCCTGCCTCGCTGCAATTAAAGCCCAAGACAGCAAGGGGATGCTTTAGTACAGCCAACGCTCAAACCATCTGGGCTACGATGCCCCCGCGGACGACGCGGGTACAATCAAATTTGGGTCAAGTTACACGCCAAGTCTATTGCAGCGACTGGAATCCACCAAATCTGATACGGTAAGCTCCCTGCCCAAACGCAATTTTATAAGTAATACGTCTATAATCCACCAGATGACCGCCAGGCTCGCGTATTTCAGAGGTCGACCAACATGAATCATTCAAAATCTGCCAAAACACCTTTGAATTACGTTAGCCTGGTAGCCACCTGGTGGATTAAAGATGCACTACGAAGGAAATGCTGCGGATTTAGAGCTTGTTTTCCACTATATAAGCAACATTAATAATTGTTCTGATGCGACGCTGTACGATTTGACATTCCACGGTCTCGAAAACTCGCATAACTATAACGTTTTTTAAACCAAATTGTACTCTTTGTTCATATAGAAAATTAGCAGAAGACGGGATTTGCTTCCAATTGAGTAAAAAGAAGAATATTTTTGTGCATTTTTATTTGGATTTATAACGGCATCGAAAATCAAAGACATATCAGAAGGCAAACAAGAGCTCTACTGACCTGTGTATTCGTTCACTGACCCCGATATCCTGGCTTAATGGTTCTACTGTAGCAACATGGATCGACTGCGTTTTTAGAAAGAGCAGTATCTTCAACTCTTGATGCTGGAGAGCTTCTGTGTCACAGAACGACCCAACAGATGAACATGGGACTATGAGTGCGTTTCATCATCCATTGTTGACATCTGGAGGCTATTCTGAAACGGTGGAAATTTTGCAAGTACTGTCAAACGGTCTTTAGACCCAAACTGTAGTCTCATCCGTGTACCGTAGCCAGGTTAGATGGAAAGCTATGTAGACCTTACTTGTAACGTCCCTTCTCATAGCCCACGGGCACTGCGATCCCCTGAAGACCGTGTTTTACTAGGCTTTCAGCAAGTATCAATAATAAGTGATTTTGACATAATGGTAGGAGAAGCTCACCGATCGTTCTTACGGAACTCACTCGTTCTGTTGTGCCTATGTACTCTCTCTCTCTCTCGAGCCTAACCAGCAGCCGCACAGTGGCGCATGATATAGGCAGAATGATATTACCGACAAAGACAAGGGAGACTGGAATGGCCATTTCTGACTTATTAACCGTCGTCAGCCAGTTATACCCAACGCCGAAGTGTGGCACACCTGAGGCTCGAACTCGCGACCTGATTGTTAGAAGTCCACGCCTCTAACCACTGAGCCACGAGCCCGTTACCCTGTCGGTTTAAGATTGCGAATATACAATGGTGCGGGGCGGGCGTTCACCGATTTTGAAATATTTAAATAAGTCACTTGGCCCAATTTTGACAACCTCGGCGCCTCGATAAGATCCGAACCCATAAGAACAAGAACAGGGCTTGAGTGCAGCCAATTCTTTAACCACTCGAGCTACGAGTCCCCGACCGGAACCGTGAGTTTAATCACATTTCGATCAAGCTACACACGCAGCCTCCTACAATGTATGAAATCCATCAAATCTAATCCAGTAAGCTCACTGCCCAAGCAGGATTTCCTAAGTAATGCATTTTGAATCCCCTAGATGACAAGCCGGGCCCACGTAATTCAGAGGTCAATCAAAATCTGCCAAAACATCTATGAATTACGTGAGCCTGGTAGTCATTTGGTGGACTCAATATTATTAATTAAGAAATCCTGCTTGGGCATTGAGCTTACTTTATCAGATTTGGTGGATTCCAGACGTTGCAGTAGGTTGGGTGGGTAACTTAACCCACATGATATTAAACCCACGTCGTCCGGTGGCGCCTCGTATCTTAGATGGTTAGAGCGTTCGTTGTAGTAAAACCTCCCCTTGCTTTCGTGGGTTTGGGCGCTGAGTTTTTGAAATTTGGGGTTCCGTGCAGACTGGCTGCGTTAATCGTGAGAAATTATTCTTTCATATGTCTAGGTGGGTGTCCGCCTATACGTTAGTATGGTTATCATACTTGACGATGTACACTTCCCATAGTAATCTAGCAATCCTACTTGCGGCCTAATTTCTAAAATATTCTCCTTTACTTGAATGTGTTTTAAAAGGCGCCGCACATTTAGGCGCTAAAACCGTAAAATAACGGAAGCCTCCGTGAAAAGAGACGTGTTTGAAGATTAACAGTAAATCGCAACCAACATAGCACCGAAGACGGCCGTCAACCTTGGGGCTTTGCAGTGGCTAAGGAACACGAATGGTACAGAGTACCATTTGCTCAGTTGTCTGAATTCACGTGCTCACACTGTCCAAGGACTAACGCCAACTAGATACCAGATCGCGCAGTCGGCACGATAGACATAGTCGAAGTCATGCGTTACACGGGGTGGATTCCAACACAGGCATTGTATATAACCACCCGACGTACAGGCCGATACCGACACACTGACGGCGACCTCGGAGGATCAGCTGAGAGCGCGCATGACCTTCGCAACCAGGGGATCAATCTCTTCATTAAAAACAAACCGGCAGTTCATCGTAGGTGCCGCCAATGCTGCACACCGGATTGTTGTGCCGAGCGGCCCGACAAATTCTATTTTAACCGCTCTTAATCCCGATTTAAGCCATATGAGCCAGGTCAAAACATAAATACCGGTCAGACAGCGATTCTGATGGTCACAACTACAGGAGCAAGTGATCAACCTCTCAAACGTACGCACGTCCTTTGAAGCGCCTCATCTGTCTTTTCTCTAGCCAGTTTTCTGCCAACTTCTCCCTGGGTAACATTAGACTGGCAAGAGCGTTGACCTTGCAGGATTGTCGGACGCGATGCCACAAGGTTAAGATGACTACCGGTGAAGGTAGCAAAGCTGTGGTTAGACTGAAGAAGGATGGGGTCATTAACGCCCAAGACTGGCTAGTGGTGATGGCCACCGAAGCGTCTGTGGCCCGATTCCGCAGTCTTAAATGTGCACGTGCCAGGTGTTTCCCACGTTAAATCGTTTCACTCCGTGGCATGCCCACATAAGGACTTGTAAACTGGTCAAAATGCGGTTTAAACCGAACCTCCTGTCATGTCGGCTTAATCGAACTTACAGCAAATGCATAAAGAAAGGCGTTAGTCGTTGATTGAATTCGACCATGATAATACGGGAAGGCAATGGCTGCGATCCATTTGCTTTACGTTTTATTTAAACAGCTTTCTCAAATGTTCCGTTTAAGCTGCTGTTTATTATCCGCTGCACAAACTGTACTTGACTGCTACCAATCGATTAAGAGAGGGATATCGATCGGTGTCATGGCGTTGCAAGTCGGAGGTCGAGTCACGCGAGCGGGTGAGGTCATCACACGCGCGAGCGCAAGGCTCGGGATGCGACAACCACATGAGTCTTCGGTGGCGTCGCCTCAAAGAACTGACATTTTTACTTTCTAGGCAGCCCCTAATATATCTTTCAAAACTTGTCTCGTGTTTGTTCAAGTAATTTGGTGTCTGTTAACTTATTCTCCTGGCAAATTAAACAGCATAGCACACATTCATTGTGAACTTTTTGGACCGTATATGGCAAATGCCAAACAATGTAGATTAAGGCATGATTGTATGTACGCGGACAGCGTGCAGTTTGTAAACCTAGGCCGTAAACGTAAATTCGGGCTTACAATATTCGTAAATTGAAAAAAAATGTTTTAGAACATTAAATTTACTATTCTTTGATCAAAAAAGTTAAAGGCGGAATGGTTTAGGATTAAGGAAGAACTGGAAAATATCTTTATTTCTGTCTT